GGGTCGCAGCCACTCTCTGCAGACATCAGCCTCATCAGCTTCTCCTTGGCGCTGCTCACTTGCTCCTGCAGGCTTTCAATCACGGCGTTTTTCTGCGTCAAACAAATATGCCTGTCAAGCACGGGGCAGGCAAAAGATAAGAAAATGCTGCCAGTTTGGAAGCAGGTGCTCCCAGAACATGAATCTTCCCTCTCTGCATGGAGAAGTGCTCCGAGGCAGCACAGCAACAAGCCTGCAAGAGCCACACTCGCAGTATGTGTGACCTTGTCCTCCCCTGGAGTCCCCTAGAACCCCCCTAGATGTGGGTGCAGGAAGGGGGGCTCTGGGATAGGCAGCTCTCCAAGCTGGGGTGCTCCTGTCTACACACTGCTGGGGGCTTTCCTGAGATGGAGCATCTGCTGTCTAAATTAACCATGTTTGACTGCACAGTGAGAACCAGGGTTTCCTGCTCTTCTCCTCATGTATTTTTCTGAAACTCTCCAGATTATGCCTAAATTTTGGCACTCTGAGGTGCAGAGTGATGTGGCAAAGCAAAGCAGCTCTTCACCTCAGGAGGGAAGAAGCCGGTGCAGACCAGGGCATAAGAAAGGGCTTCCCACCCTGCAAAGCCTTCAGTCCACAAAAGGGAAAGGGAGAAGCTGGTGCAGCTGATGGGGGCCAGCAAGAACCCCCGTACCTCGGTGAGCAGCCGCTTCATGGAGTTTTTCTCCCCTATCAGCTGGTAGAGCTGCTCCTCACTGTACACCGAGCGGCAGCTCCGGCTGGGGCTGGTGAAATATTTTGCCATGTGGCTCACGGTTTGGCTTTCTTCTTCAAAGGCTTTCCACTGCTTGAGCTGGAGGGTAGAAGAGGGCGTTATCCTCGTAGCAGGCAGAGGCAGGAGGCAGGCAGGAGGGAGACAAAGGGACAGAGAAGGGCAGACAAAGGCAGGGTGTGACGGAGGAGCAGAGACGGGTGGCGAGAGACGGCTGGGCAAGGGGCTGCAGTGTCACTTGGAGCCTCCCACCCATCTGAGTCCTACCCTGTCCCTGCCTCCAGCTTTTAACGTGGAGAGTCAGCGCCTGCCTTCGCTGCAACCTCAAAGTGTGCTGTAAAAGCCCCCTCCCTCTTCTCCCCCCTCCCTGACTCCGCGACAGACAAAGACAGAGTCACACACGCCTCCTTATCGCCGAATCATTGGTGACAAGCTGAAAACCAGCAACACTTAGTAGCCGCTTTCTCATCTGCTGTCTGCATGGAAGCCTCGTGCAGCCCAGGTCCAGCTGCTTATCGATCTCGGATGAGCAATAGAAGAGCAAGCCCATCAGGAAAAATAAGTTGATGAATTAAAAGATCTAGGTTAAATAAAATGTTCAAGGCTCCCAGGCTACAGCAGAAAAATGGTGCAGGCAGAGTGCAAGTACAGCTCATCAGCATCTCTGCTCTCACTCTGAGAGACCTTGTGCTTGGCAGAGCGCTGCCAGCAGGCTTGGTGCTTGTCAGAGGAGGTTTGGATCCCACTCCCAAGGCCTGCTCATCTAGTGAGCTACGAGTCTGTGGTTATGCTGCATCAAATGACGGAGGAGGAAACCTCTGGAAATCATCTAGTCCAACCACCTTTCTCAAGGAAGGTCAGCTGGAGCAGGCTGCCCAGAACTGCATCCAGCTGTGTCTTGAATATCTCCAAAGATGCAGACCCCACAATCTCTGTGCAACCTGCTCCAGTGCTTTACAACTTTCACAGAAAAAAACCACCTTTTTCTGATGTTTGAATAGGATTTCCTGTGTTTCAGCCTTGTGCCCATTGTCCCGTGTCCTGTCAGTATATACCACTGAGAAGATCCTGGTTCCCCTTTCCCTACTCCACCCCCATCAGTATTTATATACATTGGTGAGATCCCCTGAGCCGTCTCTTGCACAGATGTGCTCTTTCTTCAGCTTCACCTCTTCCTCCTTTTCTCACCTCATTTCCTTGAGCCCAAACATCCCTTCAAAACATTAAACTGAGTAAACAACTGTTTCCTCTCCTTGTAACAATGGGCGCATTTCCCCCCACTAATGTTGTGGCCAGGCACTCCAGGCTGCTCCTGAAGGACATGGGAAGCAGAAGAGCCTCGCCTCACCACAGAAGGCTTCCTTCAAACACCTTCACATCCTCCTCCTCACTTGTGGCAAAGCCCAGCTTCCTTCTCCAAGAGCACAGAGGAGGACAGCCTCCCCTGGGGATCACCAGAAGCCTCTGAGCCTGGTGTGGCCATCTGGATGGCCAGAGCTCAGTTCCATCCCTGCCATGGGCAGAAACCCTTGGTGGGAGCAGGTGTGTGGGGCATGAGGAGAGGGCATGAATGGACCAATCCCACCACCTACACAGAGGAGGAGGAGGGCAGCAGCCACCTTGCCTCCATGTGTGCCCTCTGTGCGGCTGCAACCCACAGAAGGCTCTTGGACGAAGGTTTCTGAGCAGCAGCTCTGCAATGTGCCTGTGCTCCTTGGAGACTCAGGGAAGAAGAGTCACTGAGGACTTGGAAGATGAGCTGTGCAGGTGAGCCTGAATATTTTGGGGAAAAAGCAGGAAAATAAGTGCTTTGGCCCACAGGTCTGCTGTTGTTATATTCTGAAAATGTGCCCATTTCCAGCCAGGTAGTGGGAGAGAGGCGGCAGCATACCTGTGGGACAAAGATGAAGCAGTTGATCGTGGTCGTACACACAAAGATGCCTCCAGAGGTAAAACCAAACAGCAAGTTGTGCCAAGCGCAGAAGAAACGGTGAACTAAGCAGACAGTGCCAGCAACCAGGAAAACGAGGTTGACCCCAACAATGAGTGTCAAGGACTGGTTGACTGGTGGGGAGCTGACGTTGTCGGTCAGACCGGCCAAGTAGGTCCCATACAGCAGAAGGATACTCTGGAAGCAGAAAAAAGAGTTTTCCAGAGTGTGGAAAATTACAGCCTGATGGTGTCAACCCCCACCCCGTACTGAGCCCAGTGAGCTCAGATACACTCATCACAGTCCTAATTAATGCTCTTTGATCTATAATGCAGACCTTCAGCGCGTGGTGGTGACACCACAGCAAACGCCCAGCATGCTGCTGCAGCTCAGAGTGGGGCTGGGGACGGAGGGCAGCAGCAAAGGAGCTGGTGGGCCCTGGGGGTCCCGACCAAGGAGTGTGAGAAGCTGAGGCTCAGGTCAGCAGGAGATGCCACGGAGCAGAGCAAGATGTGAAAATCTCCCCTAGGGCGGATTGGAGCAGGAGAAGCAGAGACGGAAAGACAAGAGGCTGAGGTCCCTGCAGGGATGCAGCAGTGGGGTGCCATCAAGGAGCAACAACATACCTCAGAAGGAAAAAGCAAAGCAGAAAAAGGGGAGTTTAGACTGGAGGGAATAGGATGTACTTGGTGCCTCTTTAAATAGAAATCAAGGAAACTATGAGGTGCAATTCCTCTCCCTTCCCCTCACCATTTCCTGCCTGACTTGAGCAGCGGTGGAAGGGCCCTCCTACCCCTGGAGCAAGTTGATTGTTTCAGAGCAGGCTTCCTCATCACACTGCCCCTCAGATGTCCCACATGTGCATCTTTCCAGCATGTTCAGGATTAAACTACACAGAAGAATGAATCCCACCTTCCCCAGAGCACACTGGCAGGAAAACAAATATTTTTTCCCTCCTCTGAAGCACAGAGCATGGTCTGCCTTCAGGATCATTGGGAAATACCACCTAACAAAATCCCTGCTCCTGCAAGGACCCAGAATACATGACTTCTACATTATTCCTGTGCTACTCAGTTAGCATTTTAGTAAAAGACATTAAATTGTTATCTGGGCATCAAAAAGTGATCTGTGACCTGCGGTGCAGATGTTCTGTAGACCTTTCTGGACCCCTCTGTGCTGCAGCTGCTTGATGACCATGACGGCTACTGCTAGGGTTAGATTCTACAGGGACACTCATACAGACAAGATAGGTTCAAATCCACGGTCTTTGGTGAGACTCCCAACTTTAGAGCATCATGAATTCTTAAGCTGAGGATTGTAACAGTGAGACCTGACTCGCTGGGAACAAGGCCAATGCCCACCTCTGTTTCACAGGATCTGGACTGGATGATCTTAAAGGTCTTCTCCAATCTAAATGATTCTATGATTCTGTAACCAAGTAGGGGACCTCCAAATAAATGGCCCAAGGGCAAGCCAACTCCTAATCCCTGAGTAAGAAATAAAAAAGATCACTGAAGTCCCATTTAAAATTCATATAGTCTATCTGGGACGCAGACAACAGCGATCTAGTAAACTAGGACTCTCAGTAAGCACAGGACTAAATGTTTGTTTGTTTGTTTTCATCTGGAGCAGAGGACTTTGCTCCTAACTCCAGGCACGTCCTTGGCAAGCCACTTCTGTCCATTGTTCTGTGCCAGTAAAACCAGGGTAATACACCAAGTGGCTGCTTCACAAAGGGCTGAGTGTATTAATGCCCTGGAAGACAAGAAGTGTTATGTACACACAGAAACAGAGCCTACTCTCACATTACTGTAAATTCAGATTAAGTCCAGAGAAATCACTGAAGAAATAATTCCATTACCTCCAGTAGGTAGATAGGATCAGGGTCAGGTTCAACATATCACTAAAAAAGAGTACCTGGGACTGGTAATGGGGATGTTTTCTTCCAAAAAGCAGTTTGTAGGAGCTGTGGGTAAAAGCATTGCCTTCTAAACCCTAACACAACCTGCAGACAAAATCAGAGGTGGAGACATACCACTGAAAGCCCAAAGAACCCCTAGTACCAAAGGACTTTTGAGGACAGGCTAGACAAATGTCTTTAAAATTAAGTGTAGGGGGAAAGAAGGACGTGGATGTGTTGTGAGGTCTCTTTCTGCTTTTTTTCCTATGATTTCAGGTAGATGGTCAATAAGTATTATATTATAGTGAGTCAGAAAGGAACTGCCTGTACTGCATACACAGAGATGGATCCATTCCCAAAGAAAGGCTGTGATCTCACAAGCTTCATCTACATCAGCTTTTCGAAATGTGTCCAGCCTCTGCCAACCCAAAGACACATGAGACCACAGATAATTACAGCGATAATTATACCTACATAGTTACATCAGTATAACTAACTCTTCCAGGAGTAAGAACAGCCACGTGCAAAGCTACCCCAGTGAAAGTGTACCTCTGTGGTATAATTAAGCTGATACATATCCTGTAAAGGTAGGCACCAAGCACTTGTCATCAGCACCTGCTTGATTCGGAGTCAGAGGACTCGTGGGCTGAACCATACAGTGCATCACTGTAGTGCACGGTCATCTGAGGCTTAATGGAAAAGGTGTGCTTTAGAAAACAGTAAGACACAAGTTTTAAGAAGAGAGAGAGAGAGAAAGTGTAGGTTGTTGCAGGGAGAGAACAAGAGACAGTATGTGCACGGTGTACATAAGAGACGGTGAGGCAGGGAAAAAGTGGCTAACAGGGCTTTTACAAAGGAATGCAAGAAAACATCAAGATGGGAAGAACTAGAGATGGGAGGGATTTCAAGTTAAACAGGCATAGCTAGAATCTGCAATAGGCATGTAGCTTGGGAGGGCAGTGAAACTACAAAAGCTGCTAAACAGTTTAGGCTGTGAGACTGGGAGGAGGCAAGATACAACATGAGTATCAATAAAGAGGTTACATACCTTAAACCCTAAAATGAGAATGAGCCAAAGATCGGAATAAAGAGATGCGCAGGACTGCACCCTGCTCACTGAGCAGGTCATGCCTTTCTCTGTCACCTAGGAGGCAAGGGGAAGGCTGGAGTGAAGGCTGCTGCCCCAGTCCAGGAGCAGGCACAGACCGATGGGCAGACAAGCAGGTCTCCTCTGTAAATTCCTAAAAGGACAGGCTAAGAGTGGTGCTGTCAGTGGCAGAAGGTTAAAGCAAGAAATATTTGGCAGCCTGCTGCTAACAGGGCTGGTTAAATCTTTCTCTGAAGCATCTGCAGATGCCATGCACCTCTCCTGTGTCATCCAGGTGACCTGCACAGACGTGGAAATTTTGCAGCAGATCCTCGTCTCTGTGACAGACCAGGCTTAAACGCAACCCAGAGTGCCCAGAAGGCTTTCTGGCTTGTTCTTCTATTTATTTATTTTTTAAACAGCACCTCCAAATGCCTGATCATCCACCAACTTTGCTCACAGAGATCAGACAGGACATGGCACAACCCTCCACCCTCCCCTCCCCATCCCTTTACCCGCAATGAGACGCTGAGGCTTCGGAAGCACTGGACTGGATCAGAGAACACCCACGTCAGGAGCAACACGGTGTCTGCCAGCACCAACGCTGCCACCATCGCCAGTAACTGGATATCTTTGATAATCTGCCAACGTGCAAAAAGTAACCATCACCCTGAGGGGCAAATGGACACCAATAACCTCCATTGGGTCTCTTTCTGGTTGTTTCTTTCAAGGACATCCTAATACTCCCACCAGAGTGGAGTCAAGCAGCTCACCTACATCCAAGTTGGCCACAGGCTCTCTGTCTCCAGCTCCCCAACTCTTGGAGAAATAATCAGGCTTGGGGCCAGGTATAAACCCTCCCTAATGGTGTGCCTAGCTGGTAAATGATACGGCAGAAAACAGCTCTTCCAAAAGAAAGAGTATCATGGGGGCCGGTTAGCTCAGTCAGCTGAGCGTGGTGCTAACAATGCCAAGGTCGCGGGTTCGATTCCCGTTCAGTCCCCATGTGTTGCCTGATCTAGTCAACAGGTAGCGTCCCTTGCAGCAGGGAGGCTGGATTAAAAATGATCTCTAAGGTTCCTTCCAGCCTAGCCCATTCTATGGTTCTATGATCTCTTATGCCCATAACAAAAGCAGAGACAAAAAGCAGGAAAAAGCTGGCAGGATTATCATTTTGCAAGTTTAACACAGATCCTGATGCCTCAGGAATGGGAGTCCTTGCTGGTACCCTATTCCCTTGCAAACTCTCTCTCTCACCTTTCATCTGAGACCTGCTTTTATGACTGTTGGAGAGTGGCCTCTGAAAGCTGTAAGTGCACTGTTACATGCACAAATTTATATAGGTAGTTCCCACTTCCCTCCCAGCTGCTGGATCCCCTTCCTTCAGTGCTGCAGAGGACTATCCAGCACTCCCACCCTTCAAGAGGAGATCAGATGTGACTGGGGATGGCCCTACATCAGATGCCCTTGAGGATACCTGTTTTATTTTCATCCCACAAAAACAATCAGCCCATACCTGGATGCAAACACTGATGTGTAGCGTAATGAAGGCATGTGACCAGCGTAAAATGAGAAGAAGACCTTGCTCAGTGATGGGGCTGGGACTCCACCAGAGAACAGGCATCTTGGCAGAGGACCCACTTGTCTGTAAAGTGGACAAGCTCCAGCCTCATTGTGCAGGAACAAATGAGGAGCCTATTCCCAGCTAGGTGTGAAACCAGACCTGTGATTGTGGTAGCCAGCCGTGGAATGGGCTGGTTTTATCTGCTATCCTGCACCAGTTTGGGACTTGCTGGCGTTCGCTCCCCTTGAAGAGTTTGTTCCCGTGCCCCTGGGTGCTGTGTACTTACCACTCGCTTGTCTGGCACCCGCTGGGTGAACACCTTGTAGAGCCGCCAGCTTTTCCCCAGAACAGGGCCAAACACCAGGGAGGTCCCCACGCACAGCAGGCAGAGCCGTACCTGCGGGAGGAGGGCACAGAGAGGTAGCTGAAGGCGCAGCTGTGGGGCTCTTGGGGACAGCCCACACCCTCCCACCCAGGGACGCAATGAAGATGAGTGGGGATGTGTCTGTGGTCTTCTGAAGGGTCATACTGAGTATTAGAAAACTGACTACAGGGTGAAATAAATTATAAGGCACATAGTCCTCTGCAGGCATGCCTGCTGTCTGCCTTTTTCTCCCTGTCCCAAGGGGCTCTCAGAGGAGGAGCAGGCAGAGAGAGCCAGGCAGCTTGCCAGCAGCAGAGGCACAGAGGGTCTCGGCACCAATAAATCACTCGCTGGCAACCCTGTTAATTATCCTCAGCCTGGTGGCTGAGCAGGACGGCAGGGTGTGCTCTCTCCCGCATCTCACTCTCCTACCCAGGTACATCCCCAGTCCCCGGTCTGGCAAGGTGGTCAGGACACAGGGGTTCATCACACAGGTCAGAATTTTGATGAAGACCTGCTTTTCAGACAAGAATCTCGCCTGCAACCTTGTGGAACCTGTGCCACATCAGGAAGTGGCTGTGCAGAGGATCCCATTACCCTCCAGGCTCCCTTCTCCCAGTTGCACTTTTACCAGAGCCCGGCCAAGCACACCCAGCAGCAAGGTGGCAACAGACTGCAACTAAGAGAGAGCACCCACAAACATGCATGTACATGCACACATGTGCATGTGTGAAGGCACCCATACCAGCAAACCACCCCCCAACACACACTCACCTGAATAAGCTTTTCCACCGAGTCTCCAGATGGCAGGCTCTGCTCCTGAATCCCAAAGAGGTAAGCACTAGTGTAAGTCAAGCCACTGCCCAGCAGGGTCACAATGTTCAGATTGGGGCTGGACATCTTCACAATCCTCCAGGAAACAAAGGAGGGAAGGCAGTGACAGTTAGTGAGCGTCATGACCTGGCAGCACAGGGGCAAGGTACCCTTACAGGGACGACGACGGCCATAAGGGATGCTGACACACTGTCCCCCCTGCCAGCCCCTGCTATTCACAGCTCCTCCAAAGGCTCAGCCATTGCCCTGTGGTGCATATCCCATCCCCTCCCCTGTACTGCTGGAGTGCTTCAGTGTCCTTAAAGTACCCATTTAGCCCTACTTCGACGCTACTGTGGGACAGCAAGATCCCCTCCCCCCTAAACAGATGGGTACCACGTACCTCTACCCCCTATATGGATCTGCAGCACAGAAAATCATCCCTGAGGCAGCTTCAGCTAGCATCTTTATGGACAAAACTGTGGGAAACCATGGGCTTTTAACAACAAAGCAGACAGGGTCACCTCAGCAAAAGGAAGCAGTGGCCCCATGGCCATGCAGGTGGCACATAGCACAGTGCCCAGCTTAGCAAGCCAGGTTACAGAAGCCAAATATCTTCCTCCGCTGTCCTCTGCTGCAAGCAGGCAGAAGTGGAAAACCACACCAACATAGCCCAAGGTGGCCATGCCCAGCAGTAAGCTTTAGGTACAGCGGCTACAAACGCCTCCAAGAAGAAGCTCTTTCCACTGCTCCTTCCTTCAGCATAGTCTCAACTTCAGGATGCTGCCAGCAATATTCAGGTTACAGCTTCCCCTCTGTAATTTCACCCCCATCACTCATGATCCTGTAACTATATTCAGCGAAGGGAGAATCAACTCACCGATCTCTCCCGACCTGTCACCCTTCTCTAGAAAGCTCATCTAGTGAAAGCTGAAAGTCCTGCCTTCTCCTCCTGTGCAGCTCCTTCCCTTCGATCTGCTGCTAAGTCATTGCATTTCTCTACCCTCGAGCACCCTCCTGGCTTGCTGCCTTGCAGATGCGGAGCCTGGGATTCAACCTGGCTCTCTCCCTCCCTGCCTGCCTCGCCATGCCTTAGCCCCTGGGGAGAGATGTTCATCAGCTCACCCTCTCGGCTGCATGCGGAAAAAAGTTGTCTTTGCCCTCCCAGGTTGAGCAGG